AAAGAGTGGCCTTCAGAGTGAGAGAAGTTTTTAAAATCTTTATGACTAAGGATGACTTATGTCCTCAGAAAATGACCCAGTGAGTTTAGCATGGCTCATTTGAGCAAAAATGCTTTCTTCACCTATGTGGAAGAACATGGATCAATATTCTCACCGCTGAAATCTGTATTCCAAGATGTTCTTCCTAAATTCTTCCATGTCATTGTTCTGCTTTGAGTGACTGCTCTCTCCTATCAGCACCATCATAACTACCCTCTGAAACATCAAGATTTAGGATAAGGCTTTAAGTCACAATTTGACTAGACCGGTTTCCAGTTAAAGATAAGAAAGTTGCCCTTTCCCAAAAAGCAATGACTGCCAACTTAACCTACCTTTGAATGATTTTAATCTTATTACTTTGTGCCCAACCTTAGGCACGTACAAATAATTTCTACTTGGTGACTGTGTATTCATCATTAAGACAACCTTTCCCATATTTCTAGAACTGGAATGTTCTAGGCCATTTGAATTTCAATATTTATTTTCTGATCTTTTTAGAGATGTGTATTGTTTGATGACCTAGTTCCATTTAGTAAAAGAAAAAAGGTCTTTGGCACTGTCCCTCCACCTCCTTTTCAGTGGTACATAGCCTTTCTCTAACAGCTGCTTTTATCTGCTCGGCTCATTTATGGTTACATTTAATGTAATACTTTGTTATGTAAATGGTGTGTTGATGCATATGATATTAAAACTGCATTTGCTGGTGATTAATCCATGGGTATGACATCATCCCCAGCCAATCCTCTATCTGATCTGAACTTGCTTTGACAAAAGTCAAATTACCATACTGAACCAAGGATTCTGTATTGCTTGTGATGAATGAAGCAATGAGGGCTGTCTTCTTGGTGTTTCCTAACTTTCAATTAGCTGCCCAGTTGGAGAGTTTTGGGGATTTCTGGACTAAGAAGCTTAGCTTAATAAAATTCTCAAGTTGCAGTTTTATAGATCTCTGTGGAATTTGCATAAGTACATTATTTTCCCCTCTTAAACTTTCTCCCTCTTTGGGAGTTTTTCACCCTGTGTTCTGGCTCAATTTCTTTACAAATATGTAGAGACATCATAACAAATGAACCAGGCTTTTCCTTTTATTTTCTTTTTTTGTCTTTGGAATAGAGGAACATCTATAGATTATGATGGGCTCATTTATTTGTGCACGTGTGTATGGCACATCGGGTGTTGGCTATAAATGAGTCAGGATTAGCACAATGACTTTAAGTCCTGAAGCCAATCAGACCTGATTAGGGGATCATATAGGGTAATTTAGCTGGATTTGTTAAGATTCGGCATTGATAGTGGAGGACGGGCAATAGGAAACAAAGATGTTCACTGAGGGATTGGCAAAGTGATCTGGGCTACATTAATCACTTCATAATGATTTGTTTGGAAAATGTGATTTAAAAAAGCCCACGTCAGACCTCTAGGCAGTCTTGATTTATGGACAGAGGCTTAAGTCTTCACATGGAGTTACACTTTGTAATTGTCTGCTCAGTTTGTGATTTCCGGCAATCCTGCCTCTCACAAGATAAAATTAACTTTGGCTTCTGATCTATTGGATATTTTCCGAAAAAAATATAAAAGTAATTCTTCCTATTTCATAATCACTATTCAAGTTCAATCTAGTTCCCTCCATAAAGTCAGTCAAATGACATTTTTTTTTTAAAGCACATAAACTTAATTATACAGTCTGGTTTCAGGAAAGACTCAGACTTGAAGAATTTTAAATGAAGAACTCACATCAGAATAACAGGGCCTTCATTCCTAGCCCAGTGGCCTTTTTGCTGAAGACCTGGAAAGCTGGGCTGGGCTGGTGTGAGGTGGGGGTCTGTGCTCTCTGCAGAGGAGGGCGTTAATGGCTCCCTGCTCTATCAAGGCTCAGTATGTGGTAACACTAGATGAGTTGAACCCAGCTCAAGGCTTTGACAACTGTATGCATCAGCCAGCTTGGGTTACTGCCTAGTAGCCCCTGCAGTGCCAACCATCACAAAGGAGAGATTTAAAGGTGAGCTGGTGGTGGAAGAGGACTGGATAGGATGACTCAGTGTGGATCTGTGAATACATGGAGAGACATGGGTGTTAAAATGATGGCGAGGCAGTGTTAGGCCATGGTTCAAGGTTTACTTATGAGTGAGAACTCAGAATAGTAATTTGGTGTGTGATAGTCTCCTCTGTCATACTTTGTACCATTGAATGGCCATAAAGCCCAACACTGATAATTGGGAATAAATATCTTCTGACATGGTTGCCAATAATGACAATGGGATATCCTGCATTAGTTAGACAGTTAGTGTGTGCCAGGTGTAAAGGGTTGATATTAATGAAACATTCCAGTTAATAGATGGCTTTCTCTATGTGAATGAACTACGGATTTTCTAAGAGTTGTTCATCTAAAACCACATTGAATTTTTTTTTTTTAAACTCACTCTCTTTAATTCAAAAGATGTCAGGATCTTCCAGTAGCAAGTCATTAGCATGAACATAAATAATTTTAACTCAGAAGCATGGAAGCTTCAGATATTAGGGAGTCCTTGTTAATGAAATGACAAAAAGAAGGTGCTCTATTTAGAAAGATAATAAAGACATGGATAATCTGCTTCCTTTTATGAGACTGGGGTATTGTTAGTATAGAACAGTAAAATATATATTTATATCTTTAAATGTGAAGTTTTTCTTGCATTTTTTTCTGAAGTAAACAGAAAATATCAGGTCTTTTAAAATACAAAAAGCAAGGTAATGCACGTAGGATACGCCATTGGTTTTGTTAGTGGTGTATGTTCATTTCAAACTAGAAAACAATCACATGTTCCTGAAGCATTTCAGTGATCTTCACTAAAGGTGGGACTGTCAGAAGGTAGAGTTATTATTGTTATTTTTAAAAGGACCACTGTGACTTCTTGGAGTCTGAGTTTCACATCTGTGCCATATGTACTGAAGTTTTCTCTGAACATTTATGGTTTTATTTCTTCATTTTACTCATTTTCACATCATCCTTTGCCTAACGAATCAGAAAAAATATTGATGAATCTTTGGGACACCACAGTTATCTATGAATCATTGGACCTAGCTATGGCTTCTAAAAGTGATGATTCCTAACGAGGAAGAAAGTTAAAGATTTCGTGCAGTGGTTCTCCCTGGGGGGTGGTTTCGCTCCCCAGAGGACCCTTCACAATGCAACTTTTTTGTTCATTACAGCCAGGGGCAGGACAGGGAGGAAGAGGAGTCTAGTGGGTAGAGGCTAAGAGTGCTGCTAAACATCAGTGCACAGGACAGACCCCCAGAGCGAGGGCTTAGTTGGCTGAAAATGTCACGAACTGCTGTGGCTGAGAAATCCGACTGATGTAGCTTTTAAGATGCAGAGTAGGGAAACGACTTATTCAAAGTCCCCAGCTCTTTATTTCAGTGGGAGACCCATATCTCTTAATGCATGGGCCAAGTTTCTTTTC